CCTTTGTACTGTAGAATTTGTCCTTAAAACTTACTATAACTTTCAATTTCAAAAGTTTGTTCCATTATAATTTATAATTTATATATGTATGTATACGTGTTTAAATAATGATTATTCAAATTTTTATGAGTTTTAGTTTCCCTGTAAATCTCCATGTTTTCTTTTTAAATATATAAGAAGGAAAGGCTTAACATTTATGGAAGTTATGTTAAGGCTTCGTGTTCTTTACCATGCTTTTCTTTTTTTTGGGGGGGTATGGATTCTTATACCAAATTGCCAGACAAGCTGTGTGTTATGGTGCCTATTTACATATGTCATTTGCATGTCAGTAAGCAAGTTATTTGTAAATTGAACTTTGAGGTCCTCTACTGACCAACACATCTTCATTTCTAACCTTTCCCACCAATGCAGCATTTTACTTTAGGTGGGGCAGTGGGCGGGGGAGAGGGTGGTTCATGGTAGCGAAGTCCACAAGGCTGTTACACAGTGTTGTGCATGCCGAGTGGTGAGAACACTTTGCAACATGCTGTTATTTGTTTTTTATGATTTGTTTTATTTTTATACCCCTGCTTATTACACTGAATGAGACAGCTGCTAGCCGGGATGATAGCAGAGCCTGCTTTTCTCTCTGAATATACTATTTTTGCTTTGGATCCCTCCAAACAGCTTAAAACACAGAGTGACAGTGTGGTGAGTTCTTCCACCGCTTTCTGCATTCCCATTGTGGGGAAGCAAAGTCATTTGGTAATTCTAGAAGCAAATTTTTAATGTTGCTTGCTATTTACCATCACTCAAACCAACTTCAATGTCCTGTTGCTAACACTGCACTAAAAAAAATTAAGAAAAAAATTGCTGAATTCTGATGATTGGTGTGCTTCTTGCTCATTTTTAACAGCAGCAAAATTAACACTGTTTTCATTAACGCAGCAAAGACTACCTTCACTTGGTCAAAAGGCATACATTTTCTTCATAAGGGAACATTTTGCTCATTAATTTTACATGCATTGTTAGATATCCCTGTTGCAGTATTGGTGGGAGGCCTAGAATGTTTTGAGATGTAACACACATTAAGGGAAAAAGTGGGTTGCTATGTAAATGAACAATTAAACAACACTGAATAGGTAAGAAGATTCCACTGTGACAAATAATTTTCTTTTGGTAGAGTAGTAGTTTTCTGTGTATTAAAAATATGAAAGGAAATACTTAATAACTACTTGCCTTCTTTCTTAACTGGTTAAATTTATAAAATTTGGAATTTTGTTTTATATAATTATCTCTGGAAGGTAGATGCTCCCCCCCCCCCATTTTAATGTATCTGATAGGATCTTAATTTAGTAAAACTTAGAGATGCTTTATTGTCTAGTAAGGGTAAGTTTTGGTCACTGTGGACACTGTGAACCCTCCATTAATTATAAAAGTAACTTGTATTGTCAAAAAGTGCTATAATAATTCATGAAGGCATTAGAATTGTTTAAAATAAGTACTCAAAGTAAATGAAACATCTAATCTTATTTACCATATGTACTCAAGTATAAGCGCACCTGAATATCAGCTTAGGCACCTAATTTTACCACAAAAACTGCATAAAAAATGTGTTGAAAAACCCAGCGTATACACGAGTATATACAGCACATTTTGTTTTTGTTCAGATAGGAACTCAATACTCTGCTTGGAGTAGAGGGAATCTGACATTAGAACACAATAAAAATTCAGTGAGGGTGTAATTTCATTATGAGTTTACCAGCTGCTAATGCTTCCTTAATTCAGAGTTTTAAAAACTGAATCTCTTTACTTCACAACCCAAGAATTGCCATATCTCTAATGCTCAATGGTTGTTGAAAGATTGGATAAATGTAACTGAAGACAAATTTGGCAGGAGACCTGCGTATACTTTTAAGTTAAATATGTGCAAATATCCTGTGAGCTAGGCGTTGCCCCTGGGAGAAGGCCTTAAGGTCTTTACTGAAGGAGGTGATTCCCTAAGGATTTAGTAACCTTTTATTGAGTCCCTACTGCCAACCAGGTAGACACAATGTTAGATCCTGGGGATGCAGGAGCTAAGTGCTCTCCAAGAGTTAATAATTTAGTGTAGAGACAAACATGTCAAGTGTCTACTTGTGTAGATAGAAAGTCAGGCTGTGTTAGCCGCTCCAGGAAGCCACATGGAGTGTGACAAAGGGACATTTGAAAGTTGAAAGATGGATTGTGATAAGAGTTATATGAGCCCCTAATAAAATGATTAAAAAAAAGTAGAAATAACATGTAAAAAAAAAAAAGAAAGTTGAAAGATGTGCTGGGCTTTGCCAGATGAAACACGGAGGTCTTCCAGATAGTGACAGAATGTCTAATTTTATTTCTAGAGATTTATAATTTAAATTTACAGTGTATGTTAGGCTAAGACTGATCTGTAGTTGTTTGCTAAGGCCTGCATTTATTTTGCTATATGGAGTAATACATGAACTATGTATGAGGAGAGTTCAAAAAGGTTAAGGGAAAATAAGATAAAGAGATAATGCAACTTTTCAACAAACTTTTTGAAGCCCCTCTCATTTATGGATAGGGGAGTTTTTTTTTTTATATACCGTGTTTGATATGGTGACATTTAAAACACTTTGTAGAATATCTGTTTTTGCATGGATCACAATCATGTGCCAAGTCATTTACTTTAAACTGAATATGGACTGTATTGCCACCCTGCCCTTATCGTAAAAGAAAAGGGTAGGGGAGATAAAGGAGCTCTTTCTTTTCCCTTCTTGTTAGTATAAGTGCTGGTTACTTTTGAGTGTACTGACTGGCTAAGAGACCTGCTGATCTCATAAAGTATATATTTTTATCTTGTTTTATGCAGTATATTTTTAAGGGGCCATGGTGGTATAGTGGTTATGTGTATATGTATTGGCTGCTAGCCACAAGGTCAGCCGTTCAAAACCACCAGCCGCTCCTCGGGAAAAAGATGAGGCTTTCTATATAGAGATTTTGTTTTAGAAACCCACAGGTGCAGTTTTACCTTGCCCTATAGGGTCACTATGAGTTGGAATCAACTCAGTGGCAGTGAGTTTTTTTGTTTGGTGGTATAGTGGACTATGCATTGGGCTGCTAACCACAAGGTCATCAGTTCGAAACCACCAGCTGCTCTGCAGAACAAAGATGAGACTGTTTGCTCCTGGAAAGATGTAAAGTCTCAGAAACTCAAAAGGGCCATTCTTCCCTGTCCCATAGAGTTGATATGAGTTGAATTGACTCTATGACTCTATGACTCTATGACATATGACTCTATGAATTTGATTTTGGTTCGTAAGTATAGTATATTTTTAGGGCTGGAAAGCATTAATTGCGATACTACCCAAATACATTCTGTGTACGTATACAATTTCTAATTCTTTAAATGGTAGGGAACAGGAAATTAAAAGGTAATTCCTATATTTTCCAGTCTGTAGCTTTAATTAATGTCTTGAATTGGTGAAATATGAGAACTTTAGAAGTTTTTTAAGTAGGAAGGCCTGCTCTACTAATATTTAAGAATAACCAAGATTAAATGTTTGTTCTTGGTCATTTGTAGACATAAGAGGAAATGTATTGCTGCTATTTTAACTACCACCATATTGAAACATGACTACAAGATGCTTCTGTTTGAAACTTGGAAGTTATTTATTGGGGCCACCTTTGTAGCTCTAAGTTTTCGATAGATGATTAGTAAATTATGAATGCTTTATAGAATTTTGAATCCCAAAGAATCTTATTCATTCCCAAGGAATCTGTGGCAGTATGTTGTAATCAGTAGAATGTTGCTTAATTTGGAACAATCCTCATATCAATGGAACAAAACAAAAGGTTTACACATTATAAAGAAGATATTTTTAATTAGAAAAATTTCTGAAAATTGTCCTAACAGTGTCATTTAGACTTCTGCTTCAAAAGAACACAACCTATTTTTCAGAGCTTAGCCCAAGTACTTTGGAGTATTGTACCATTGTAGGACACAATTGACATTAGAGCTGTTTTCTGGATTCTTACCTTGAAAGAGTTTGCTAACTGAATCCCTGATGTTAATTTTGTCATGAGGGGGAAAAAACTGGGGACATCATATAATGATTTGCTTGAAATAAACCTCACTACATACTAATCTTTGCTATATTTAGATATATATATATGCATATAATACAATGAAATGAATTTTCTAAAATACTACCATACTAGTTTTACCCTGCATGAAAATATTCTTATAAATGCAGTTACTAATTTTAAAATCTAAATGTATCTAATTGGTTTTGGCATTTTGTTCACAACAGTTTTCCATTGTTAGTTTTATGTTTCTTTACAATGAGCACCTCTTTCTTTTCCTCAGAATGCATCTGTCGAAGCCCTGAAATCTCCCGACAGTGTTAATGGAAGTGAACCAGCTACTACTCCTCAGGTCTGCTACACATGTAATTTTAAAAATGGCAAGTCATTTCAGAGCATTGATCAGTGTGTATTAACTAGGAGTTTTGACTTCACACTGAAATAATAGTATCCAGTCTTTTGATCCAATATATTATATATGGTCTGTTAATTGTTCCTTGGGAAATTTAAAAAATAAATCTGTTCATGCTGTATGTGCATCATTTGTATATAATGTAAGAGTATATTATAATTTTAAAAAAAAAATAACATTTTGTGATTTTAGTGAAAGTTTAAACAGCAAGATAGGTTCCCATATGACGATTTCTAAATGAGTTGACTAGTGACATTAGTTACATTTTTACATTGTAAAAATCAACTTTCTCTTTAATTGTGCTCTGGTTCTGTTTTCAGTACTCTCATTTCCCTGCCCCCTTGTCACCTTATCATCTTTGTTCTTTGAATGAAATGTTGACCTTTTCAACTCAAAACTGATGATTTTTCATTAGAGCACTGCTCTACTGGGTAATAGCCTTTGTTTGTCAATCTGCTTTTCTGCTCAAAGGTGAGCTCAGGGATAGTATTGATTCACTCTTTAAAGAATATCCCAGGACGAGCTTCTCAGAGTCCTTTAGTCTCAGTTGGTCCGATAGTCTGCCCACCACCCCTCGTTTTTGGATTTTTTTTTTAAGAATTTGAGTTTTGTTTTATTTTTCTCTCCCATTCTAATAACAAGGGTCATCTGTGCGGTCCTGGTCAGATTGGTCAATGGTAGTAAGCATGCACCACCTAGTTCTTTTGGTCTTAAGGTCTGAAAACCATTCTTGGAAGGTGCTGGATTATATCTGAGAATGTGTGTAGCTGTGCCCACATACCTGTATTTACACACACACTTGTTATTGCAGTCTTAGCTCCTGTTGGGTCCATTCTGACTGTTACTGATGCTGTGAACAAGGGGATGAACACACCAGTCCTGTGCCGTTCTTACAGTTGTTGCTGTTTGTACCCATGGTTGAAGCCACAATTTCATCTATCTCTTTGGAGGGTCTTTCTCTTTTTCACTGATCTGCTTTATCAAGCACGATGACCTTCTGCAGTGACTTAAAACCAAAACACACCCACTGTCATCAAGTCAATTCCAACTCACAGTGACCCTGTGTAGGATTTCTGAGGCTGTAGATCTTTATGGGCACAGGTAGCCTCATTTCTCTCCCTTGGAACAGCTGTGGGTTTGAACTGCTGACTTTGTTGTTAGCATTAATTTTAACATTAATGGCAGTGAAGTGAAAAAGATTTCAATGAACGATGGCTTCATAGTTGTAAAAGATTATAGAGGGAGTTATAGTGTATGGCATATGGAGTTACATAATTTGGATGGAGGATTTGAAGTAAATGGGGTTTCTTTTAGAATTTGCTTTATTACAGACTATTTTACTAATAGAGAATTTATCTTTGTTTTAAAACGTTATTAGGAGAGTGGCACTCAAGTGACATTCTATTGACCTCTTTCAAAAAGAAAGAAAAATTTCACTTGAAAAAATGCTATCAAGAAGGACATT